GGGTATGGTGGTTCTAATGGTGGGTTGACTCAAATCAGTTTATAAAACATTTTTTTAAGTGAATAAGTATGTTGAAATATGGTTTATATGTTAAATCTTAACTTCTGGTATCTTTTGGATTATTTTGCAAGAATACAAAAGAATAAGGATTGTTCGTGTACATAGCTGATTGATCAAGAGATAAAGGACTGCGCTTCACTTTTCGTATTTCTTCAAGGGTAGCGAAGCTATTATTTAATTCTTCAGGGTGCATTTTGTAAATTCTTTCGCCTTAGTATAAATACTCTTTTTTTCTTCTTTTGGCTCAGATTTGCTTAGTTTTCTTTTTTCAAATCTTTCTCGATTGTTCTTTGCTCTTCATATTCTTTATCTTAGTTTTATTAGCTAAGATTAGATTTAGGGTTTATTTTTGTAACATTGTTGTTGTTATGAATAAATCTTTGGATTGCAAGTTTTATCATGATATCAGAGCTACACCATTCGTGTAGAATCTGTTTACTCGTTGTGTTTCTCCTTGCACATATGAAGGTTTCCTCTCCATGTAAGTTTTCTGTTTGATCTTGACCTACTGTTCTTCTGATTTATTTGTCTTTTTCATTTTTGTGCATAGGTATTTTTGGATCTTGTTTGAGTCTGTGTAGATCTCGTTCTCTTTTCCACGACTGTTCTTGTGGTTTGTTTTGTTTATGCTTGGAGAAGTGTGATCTGATCTCGAAATGAGATTTGGTTGTGCCTTCAAACGCGTTTGATCTTTTCGTCTTTCTCGGTAGGTATTTTTTCCTTTTCTTCATGTTCTTTTTCTGTTCGAGTAAGTGCGCAACTGTTTGAACTGGTTTATGAAGGTCGTTTAGACCTCGTCTAGCCATTCTTGTGGTTTGATTTGTTTCTGTTTGGAAAAGTGGAATTTGATCTCGAAACGATATCTGGTTGTATCTTCAAACTCGCTTAACCCTTCGTCTTCTTGGCATGTATTTTCTCTTCTCTACTTTCCCTTGTCTTTTCTGTTTCTTTTTGAGTAAGTGCGTGGATGTTTGAATAGGATTACGAAGTGTCTTTAGACCTCGTTTAGCCATTCCACACCGCCATACTCGTTTGCTTCTGTTTTGGTTGTTTTCAAGTGCGCGACCTTGTTGATTTGGTTAAGATCCATTTGCGATCTTTTGTTTCCATCCAGGTCTTTTTTTCTTGTTCCTGTTCTTTTCCAGATCTGTATCCCTTTTTTTATGTTGATTAAGGTCCAGATCTAAGTTGTTGTTTCTGGTCCTTTGTCTAGATTTGTTTGTTATTAAGGTTTGGTCCATCCAGATCTGGTTGTTTTTGTTTGTATAGGTTCTGGTCCATCCAGATCCTTTTCTTTATCTGTTCAGGTTGCTCTCGGTTCTGGTTATTTCCTTGCCTTTTATTTGTGGTTCTCTTGTTCTTTGTTGTTATATCTGTTGGGGCTGAATAGTTAGATTGACCTAGCACCGTTAAGTATTTTAGGAATCCTGCTTCCATCTATTCAGTTTCCTTGTTCGTTTCCTTTCTGTTTTAATGGGTGATCCCACTGCTGCCACTGGTTCTACAATGGAATCTAAGGTCACCAGTTTGGATTTTGGGGATCCATTGTATCTACATCCTAGTGACACTAGTGGAGCTCCCTTACTTAACATCAAACTCAGTGGCACTGGAAATTATTTGGGCCTGTGCTATGACCTTGGCCTTGGACAAAAAAAAAACTCGGATTTATTAATGGGTCCTATCCTCACCCCAAAAATGATCCCGTTCTTGAAAGACAATGGTATCATTGTAACTCGATTGTCCTGTCTTGGATTCTGAGTTCCATGATGGAAGATCTTTTTTTTGGGACAAGTGTTCTCAAAGGAAGCTTCCAAAGTTTGGGACGAGCTAAAAGAAACATATGTTCTTTCACCTTTAATATTTATAAAAAAAATAAACTCTTTAAATCAAAATGGTACATCGGTTTCTGAATACTATCACAAACTCAATTCCTTATGGAAACAATTTGATGCTTTGGTCAAACTTCCCTCTTGCACTTGTAATGCCTCTCATGATTTCTCTGAGCACTGTCAACTCATCAAATTAATGCAATTTTTAATGGGCCTTGACGATATGTATCAATCGATTAGAAGTAATATCCTCACCAAGGACCCTCTTCCCACTGTGAAGACTGCTTTTTCTCTTGTTTCAAGGGAATAACCTACCTCAGTCTCGCACTAAAACTCAGAATAATGCCTTTGTCAGTAAAACTTTTGAAAACAAAAGGAGGGTAGGGAGAGGTCCTAATTTGGTTTGTAAGCATTGTGGTTTAAATGGTTACACTATTGAAAGATGTTATAAGCTGATAGGTTTTCCAAAAGACTTTCAAAATTGACCTCGACCACAAACTAAGTTCAATTCTTGGGCCATGTCATTTCAGAATCAAGGGTAAAAGTTGATCCTGCAAAGATTGAGGCAATTGATAAATGGAATATACCGAGAACACTCACCGAGATCTGTAGTTTCTTGGGTTTGACAAGATATTACAGAAAGTTTATTCAAGATTTTTCTCGGATTGCTGCACTTTTGACAAACTTGACGAGAAAGAGCGTTAAGTATGAGTGGGGAGAAGATCAAACTAAAGCCATCCAGCTATTAAAAGATTGGTTATGAAGTGCTCCAATATTAACATTATCGAATGGGTCAGAAGATTTTCTAGTTTAGAGTGATGCTTCAAAGTTAGGTTTGGGGCGTGTATTGATGCAACGGGGAAAAGTTATCGCATATCTTCTAGACAATTGAAGGATCATGAAAAACAGTTTCTACACATGATATGGAGCTTGCTGCAGTCGTTTTTGCTTTAAAAATTTGAAGACATTATATGTTGGGGACTAAATGCTAAATTTATACTGATCATAAAAGTCTTCGACATCTGTTTAATCAGAAAGAATTGAATATGAGGCAAAGACTATGGATCGAATTGGTGAATGATTATGATAGAGAAATTCTCTATCTCCCTGGGAAGGAAAATGTGTTGGGACCATATCATAATGGATTTTATTATGAAATTGTAGTGAACTCCAAAAGGATATAATGCCATTTGGGTTATTGTGGATCGTCTAACAAAATATGTGCACTTTCTATCGATCAGAGAGACTTATCTGTTAGAAAGACTTGCAAGGATTTACGTCGATGAAATTGTGACACGCCACGTTGTTCCCTTATCAATCATTTTAGATAGGGGCAAATGGTTTACCTCAAAATTCTGGGAAAGCTTTCAGAGAGCCATGAGATCTCAGATTTAGTTAAGTACGATATATCATCCACAGACTGATAGGCAGAGTGAGAGAATGATTCAGACCCTCGAAGATATGTTAAGAGCTTGTAGCATTGACTTTGGGGGGTCATGGGAGAATCATCTGCCTTTGATTGAATTTTCCTACAATAACATGTATCATTCCAGCATCCAAGCGGCATCATACGAAATTTTGTATGGTAGAAAGTGTAGAACGTCGTTGTGTTGGAATAAGGTGGGGGAAAAATAGTTGGTTGGTCTGGATATTGTTCAGATAACGACTGAAAAAATAGATCAAATTCGAGAAAGAATAAAGACAGCTCAGGACCGACAAAAGAGTTATGCCAACAAGCGTTGAAAGCCGATTGAATTTTATGGTAGGAGATCTTGTGATGTTGAAAGTTTCTCCATGGAAGGGTATCATATGTTTCGGGAAGAGAGCTAAACTGAGTCCAAGGTACAATGGGCCATTCAGAATCAATAATCGGGTTGGTACAGTAACGTATCAGTTGGAGTAGCTAGAAAAACTCAACGTTATTCACCATACTTTCCATGTTTCGAATCTACGGAAGTGTTTGGTTGATCCGAATATGGTCGTACCCCTACCTGAGATTCAGATTGATAACAAGTTGAACTTTGTGGAAACTCCAGAGGCTGTCACTGACCGGAAGACTAAGGTGTTGAGAAATAAAGAAATTAGACTGGTGAAAGTACAGTGACAATTTCATAAAGGGCAGAAGGCTACCTGGGACTTGGAGTCTGAAATGAGAACGAAATATCCTCAATTATTTGATTGATTGAATTCCGGGACAAATTTTTTTTGAGGGGAGGATAATGTTATAACTGGATTTAAGGTTATAAGAGTTTGGAGTTGTTTTTGATAAGCCATGAAAGTTGAGGGAGAAGTTTTGAAAAATTCTTTAAAAAATATCCCATTACACTGCCTCATATTGGGTTAATTGAGATATTGTTTACTTATTGGGATAATTGAAAAAGAAGAAAAGGAAATTCGGTATATTCTTTTGTGTGTTACAGAATCGGGATAGACGTATATTGGGATAAGGGTGGCATAATCAGGAGAGACGTATATTGGATAAGGGTGACAAAACCTTCTGTATGTAAAATGGGATTATTGATCATGTGGAACTAATTATCGCATCTTCATGATACGACGAGTTTGATTTATCGCATCTATATGATGCGATGAGAAGATGTTATCTCATCCTTGTGATGCAAATAGTTCTGTTATCGCATCTTAGAGATGCGATAAGATGAAGTTATTGCATTCTAGTGATGCAAGGAATGAGTATTATCATATCCTAGTGATGTGACAAAGTGGAGATTTCTCATCAGTGTGATGCGATAAAGGGAAGTAATCGCATCCTTAGGATGCGAGGAAATATATTATCGCATCTATATGATGAGACAAGTTGATGTATATAATGCGACAAGTTGGTATCTTTTATGTTTGATGCTATTAGACTAGGTTATACGTTAATGTAATTATGAATAGTTAGAGGTATCTAAATGTAATTTGTATTAGCATGGTATCAGAGCTCCCAACCTAGCCGACCCTACCTACTTCCGCCTTTGGATCGCTGCTGTCTTCCCCTTCGCTGCTGTGTCTTTCCCTTCAATCTGCGATCTCCTCTAATCGCAGCCCCCCCTCCCTTCTCAATTTTGATTCTCTCTTCTCTTTTTCACCTTTATTCCGATTCTAATCCTTATGGCCGGCGATAAAATCCAGCCACCCATCATCCAGCCGCTCCACCCTGCGACAACCGTAACCAACATCAAGAATCAGATCCCTATCACTCTCACCACTGATGGCAACACCTACAACTCCTGGGTCGCCTTATTTAAAGTACAGTGCACCGTTTGTAGGGTTTTGGATCACATTCTCCCGGATGCTACCGCTCCCTCAGAACACGATGACGAATGGAAGCGTATTGATGCAATCGTGTTACAGTGGCTTTACGGTACTATACCCACTGATTTACTAACGACGATTCTCAAGGTTGACAACACGGTTGCGAAGGCGTGGTCTGCTCTTGAACGCCTTTTTCTGGATAGCAAACCTACACGTGCCTTGCATCTTCAGCAGAAATTTTACAACACCAAGCAAGCATCGTTTACTTCTGCCACAGCATACTGTCAGGAACTCAAACATATTTCTGATCAGTTGTCGAATGTTAATGCTCAGGTGACCGATCAGACCCTTGTCCTGCAGTTGATATCCGGCCTCAGTCCCGAGTATGACAATTTTGCAACCACTCTACAACAGGCTGACAAGTTTCCGTCTTTTGAAACAGCCAGATCCAAACTCGTTCTTGAAGAGGACAGCAAGGCCAAACGACTTGCTGATGCACCGGCTGCCCTACACACTACTTGCCCATACCCCACGACTCCACAGCACCGTCCTCCGGCAGGGCTGCCCCGGGCATTCTTGGTGCGGCTCCATCAGCAAACTATGCCTCGTCCGAGTATTCAGTTGCACCAACAAATATAGAACAAGCATTGCACACCATGTCTCTGAATCAGGATCAAAACTGGTACAAGGACACCGGAGCTACATCTCATATGGCACACACCCCAGGTATGCTTTCCGCTTATGTTAATAATAGCAGTTTGACACCCATTGTTGTTGGTAATGGTTCTCATATTCGGACATCCGGTATTGGCCAAACAACCCTCAAACCACCTTACCCACCTTTAAAACTGCCCAATATCCTTGTTTCACCTTCTTTAATTAAAAACCTTCTTTCTGTTAGACGTTTAACCACTGACAATGATATCTCAATTGAATTCGATCGTTTTGGTTTTCTTGTGAAGGATTTCCAGACCAAACTCCCCATTTTTAGGTGCAACARCTCCGRCGACCTTTATCCGCTCTCTCTTTCATCGGCTACATCTTCTTCTCCCTCGACTTTTGCTGCTCTCACTCAAGACCGTTGGCATCAACGATTGGGTCACCCGGGCGCTTCTTTATTACGTTTATTGCA